ATCTAGATCACGCGACTTTGCAATTTTAAATAAAAATGGTTTAAAACTAACCAATTTTGTAGTACAACATAGCTCCATAAAGTCACCTATCGGTTTTAAAAAAAAATTTATTGATTTGAAATAGTTTAGACAATTGAAGCTCTTCAACTTGTCATAAAAGCAAAAGTTTGAAAATCTGACCAGTAACATTAATTGTAACAAGCTCTGCAAGAATTATCAGTCAGCTTTAAATGTTGCTTCTATAAAGGTTGATACGCTTGGTAAAATACTCAATATTTAGTCACATGATCACGGGAATAAAGCTTCTATTATCTGAAATTCTACTAAACCATTTACCTCAATAAAAAATGAATTATTATCATTCGAAATGTTGGTTTTATTTGTTATTAATAACACCGATTTTTTTTTTATTAATAATAGATAAATAAAACGAACGAATAGAGAAAGGAACCGAAAAAACGAAAAAAAAAATAGTGCGATAAATAAAATTTTGCCACCAACGATAAACGAATATTCTAATAAAATAAAACGAACGAACTTTTTATCGAACCAAAAAAAAATTAAAAAATATAGTGCTATAAATAAAAGTCTGTTACCAACGATAAACGAATATGCTAATAAAATAAACGAACGAACTTTTTATCGAATAAAAAACGAGAAAATAAATAAACTAGTGTTACAAATAAAGTTTGCCACCAAAGATAGACGAAACATGCCAATAAAATTTAAAATTCGCTAATTAAAAAAAACGAGTGAAGCTTTTGATGTTCAAATAAAACTAAATTCACGAATGCAATCAAAACGATTGACTGCTATTATAATTATCTATTTTTTTTTTATCATTTGACATTAAGAACATCGGCTATAATCAATATATTCATCAAACTCCATTCTTTCATTAAACATGATTTGTTTCTTCAAAAGAAGTTTCCTCGGAGAACGTTTGTTTGCTTTCCTTTTTTTGGGGTTTATAGACATAGTTTGGATACTTCATTCTATGTCTTTTGTCGGCAATGTTCGATAAAATGGTAAACAATTGTTTACCTTGAGGTGGCAGTGTTTCCCAGTGTTTACTTGTCCCCTTAGAAATTTCATCTGTATTCATTGATTTTGCTCGATCTGGATCCTGCTTTTTCACGTATGCGGTGTATTCCTTTCGGAATAAAATAAATTTATTTTGGGATCGCGGTTGTTTTTTTGCATTTTCCTCCGTGTCACGTGGAGCAAGGATCTCTTCTAGAGATAACGTAAGTTTATCTGGGAGTTGTTTTAATAATTCGTTTGCTAAAACCAATAAGCAATCATGCTCCATTTGAAGAGAACTTGGGGATGGCATAGGATTTTCATGAACTATCGCAAATCCTTCGTTATTTTTTGAATTCATTTTACATACACACTCCGTTTTTCTTGGGATTCAAAAAATGTGGTGCTTATATATTGGTGAAAATGCTAATATCTGAGTAATTGCTGTATTAGTTCCGGAATTGAGCCTACACGAATAAAACATCTCAAAATTACTTGTAGTTCTTAATAATTAATTAATATAGAATTTAAAATCCTATTCGATAATCGAATTTTCATTATGCACTTTAACAATTAATTCTTTAATCTGAAAGTACATTCCTGACTCTCATTTATGACTGGCATTAGCCTTAAAATCTTGTTAAAAGATCTGTACGTTACATAATTGAAACCTTCTTTACCAATTTGTTGGTAATGCATAAATTTGTTTGATATTTTTACTCTCTTTCATCTCTTCTAAATTATTCCTTGCATTCGTTTTTCTTTGTTCGGCCGTTCTCATAAAATTTTCATACGAAGCCATTCCATAAAATTCTAACGGAGCACAAAATCACGTCATGCATAAAAATCAAGATTAATTTTATGCATAATAAATGTGTCAATTCTAAAATTATTTTAGTTCATAAAAGTGTCTTCGTCATCGGATGGGCCAGAAGACTTCTCCGGCTAAGTTCGTGCTTAATACAAATTTAGAATAACTCCAAATGAGCTGTTTGTGCTTGAACGGAAAACATTCATACACAAAGCGATTTTTGAGCAGCATCTAAACGTATTTAAGTTAGTTGATCATCAATTCTTGTTACCAAATTCCGTACTTTTGGAAAGAATTGTAATTAAAAATAGCTTTAATAACGCAATAGTTGCAATAACATTTTGTCTTGCATGGAAAAGATTAATAATAAAAAAGGGGTTTTTTTACATATAGCTTAATTCATCTCCAAATTTGTAGAATTGAGCCATAACGATAACGATAAAGTTGTCCCTTTAATTCGGCGCTGGTGCTCGGAAAAACGGACTTTATGGAGCTTTGGTTCATTGTGGCTCATAAAAAACGTTGGTACGCTACCTTAATTTAAAAAAATATCTGCATGTGAAATTTTATTAATTTCCATTTATATATACAACGTGTTTTTAAACTAACATTTTTTGCTGTTAAAAAATTTAGTAACCAACAAAATTTAACCGATCAACATGTAGGGTCTCCGCACTCCGAAAGCACGTGGAGCCGACGGCTATAGGTAACTTTTTTCTAATTAGTCGATCATTTACAATTGTATTTATAGATTTATACAGTTTGGTTTAGAGAACTTTTTATGAATGTAAATTTCACCGTCTCTATCTTAAATGAAACGCCAACAGTTATTATACACAACCGGCAGCACTTTACTTAGAAGGTAAACTTCCGCGTACATTACGTATATGATTATTTCGTTGTTAGATGTATTTGACTTAGTAAAAAAATCAACAAAGCAAACTTCTCTAAAAGTTAATCGTATAAAGGCGTATGCATTAACGTAATTTTGATTTTTAAAAAGAATATCAATATATTTGAACAAACAAATCGAACAGGGACGATTATTTTCTGCCAAATGTAGAATACCGAGAAATTACGGAATTCATACCAGGAACGGAGTACAAAGTACGTAGAGTATGGTTTAATGGCAAGTGAAAGGGTGTATCCGAATACGTGTATCTGATTGGATTGCATCTTCATGTGATTTTGTGATACATCTATATTTGTTGGCTTTTGTTCTTACCGGTTGCAACAAGAATTATGTGACTTAAATGTTTATCTTAATATACCAGGAACGTAGTACGAAGTACGAAGTGTATGGTTAACAGACAACTATCTGTGTACAAAATCTTGGATCTTATTGGACAGCATGATCTTGTCATGTGAAATTATTTTGTAAAGATCTACAAGTTTTTAACTTGTATTAATCTGGTACATACGTATTACTCTAAATGGACTTAAAGGTTGTTTTTAAATACAATTGAGAAAATTACGTTTATATTACGTAAGTACGTATGTACATACGTACAAGATTCTATTGATATTGAGTTTTACATTAATATTAATGTTAATGCTAACGCTAACTTTTTTCAGTAATTAATTTAGATTAAGCTTATGCTGTACATCCTCTAAAATTTAAAATATACAGGTTATCGTTATGCATTATTTATTAGCAGGCATCCAAACTTAGTTCTGTAAACCCATCTAGGGATGGATGAACTCGATTCAACGGAGATGTTGTACTGTAAACTGATAAACCACAGTTAGCTTTAAAACTGGTCTGAACTGCTTTTAGTTTAAGACCAGACCGGCTAGGACTGCCCGAACCAGTTAATTCTTTAAGATTTTGAACTATTGAAGTGAACCAGGACTGGACTTGAAGGACTGTTAGGATCTCCATGGTTCAATCTGCTCTGGTTTCTGATAAGACCAGTTAGTACTCTGCAAAATCAAATCAAAATTTGAATTTGAATCAAATATTTGATTTTGCAGAGTACTATTCATGATTTCAGAATTGTGGTCAGACTAATGATCTCAATAGTGAATGTTCGCAATTCATAGTGGCTAGTTCGTGATTTTAATAGTAGGTGTGTTGATGATTTCAACAGTGTGAACTCATAATTTAAACAGTGTAGCACATGATGGATGAATTTTTGATTTCAATAATGGATATGTTCATAGTTTTGATAATGAGTAAGCAGTAATTTCAACAATAGATGGTTCATGATTTCGACAATAGGTTTGTTCAGAATTTTAACAATAGGTTAATGATTTTAAATATCGAGTAGGTTCATGATATTTAACATATAATACAGTACTTATATTTGTTATTTACTATGCTACAAAAGGTTTACTAAAATTTGATACTGTATAAGCATAACTTCTTATTATTAATATTTGTTATCACACTATACTTATTACTTTAATTCAGTTTAGACAGTGCAAAATAGCGGAAATGACATTATTTGAATTTTGGCTTGAATTAAGCTTAGTTTGGCCAAATTTATTAAATTCTATTTAACGAACCAGTATCTTATAAATTTAATCTGTTATTTTTTATCAGTTATTATAACCAGTCTGGAAAAACCACCTGTACTGATAAACAATTCTGGCACACTCATAATTTATGTTCCTGGTTTTGCGTAACAGCATCGCGCAGCTACCTTATTGATTTTTGTAGAAATTAGACTTTAACGTAGATAATTGCATAATTTAGAATTTAAGGCTAAAATTTGGTAAAATATAGAGATTGTTGGAAGAATATGCAAAAAATGTACATGAATGTCGAAATATTAGTAATTAAAAATAAATTTTGCACAGAAATAGAATCCTTAATGCACAGAAGTTAAATTTAATCAATGTAGAATTTGAGTTTATTCACCGGGCAGAGCGGGGTGATAGAGCCAGCCTTCACTACAAGGTGAGCGATAGCGAAAAGAAAAAATAATTTATTCTACTAATTAAAAGCCCTTAAATATCCTTGAAAATATCCTTGAAAATATCCTTGAAAATATCCTTGAAAACAAACTTGCCTATCATAGTAACTCATTTTCAAAAATCATATGTTATCTAATATTAGTTAGAAAATACCTGCGTCAAACAAGATACAATAAGGACTATTACACAAAAACTCATAAGAATCAAATGACAATTTGAACATGTGATCTGATAAGGTTATCGGATTTCACAATAATGATCACCCTGTCGCTTCATTGACAGGCTTTTCATTATAAACCTTCAAAATTTTTATAATTATATCCATCAATTTTAACCCATATACACAATAAAAAAATAATTCATACTTTCTCATGATATACCAAAAATGTGTACAACGTTATACTTCAGGAAATCTGAAACTAGAAAGCTTTTTTCTCTTACATTATTAAGAACAATAATGTTAACAATAATTATTTATATTACTTTATTTTGCAGAATAAAGTGCCTACCTAATGCAATTTCCTTTACATATAAAAAATTAAATCCAATCACATTACTATATAAAAACCAGTAAAAAAAGAGATCTACAATATTTGGTACGAAATTTTATTTCGCAAAATACACTATATGAGGTCAAAATCTGTATTTTTCATTTACTTTCGTTTTATATCCACTAATCTGACCCAATAATTGTGCAATTAGTGATTACTTTTTTTTTTATTGATCTTCAAATTTAGCATAATTTTGCAAACCGCAATAAATTTAACAATCTTTTCTCTTTCCCTATAAAAAACATGACTACCAACGTATTCCGAAAATATTCCGAACTTCTTATTCCAAAAAATTTCAGATAATTATCCGATTGTTTTTCAAGTTCGTATTCCGAAAATCTTCAGGCTTGTTAAAAAATCACCAGGTAATGACCATATTTTGTTCCAAAAAATGAGCATTTTCCGGAACGATTTTTAACATTAATGTTCCAAAGAGATTCCGAAAATGCACTTCTAAAAATAATAGCAGATTCGGATAATTTTATGTCAACATTCGGGTAATATTATGATTTATTTATATATATAATGGTGCTGATAATTGGATTGTTTGATGATTATTTTACATATAGATTAGGAAGACTTTCTTTATTTTCAATAGACCAATCAATAAAAAAGATTCCGAACATAAATTCGGATCATGTTATGATTTATATATGAAACGGTACTGATAATTGGATAAATTAATGATCAATAAAACCACTCAATAATCATTTTATAGT